GGGGCGGGGACTCCCGGGGAAGCCCCCCCCGGGGGGGGGGGGGGGGCACGGGGCTGGGGAATCGAGTTAGAGTGACAGACACAGCCTGAGTCACTGAGTCATGGTCCCCAAGCACAGGCCCCATTTATAACCTGTTCTTTAACTTTGTTTATCTTTGCAGAAATTCGCAGAAGCATCTTACTTTCCAGAAGATGGGACCCTGTAATCATTACTTGTCTTTGGAGAAAATAAGATTATGCGCCTTTAATTCCTCTTCTCAGAAAGTCAGCCTTGTAATAGATAGCTCCTCACTGACCTTCCATCCTGAGGTGGGGCCTCTGTGTTTTCACCTCTTCTTCTCAGTCTTGGTGCTGTAAGGACAAAGGTGGGATCCTTGATACTTAAACTCAACCACAAACAGAAAAGGGGCAGAGGGGCTCACCTCAGTTAGTGTTTGTGACTCCCCCGGCTCCCCTAGGAATGAACATGACTTTCCAGAAGGGATAGAACCAACTGCACAAATTTCCAGCTTAAAGACTGCTAAGGCTGCTGTAACAAAGAACCATACACCAGGTAGTTTAAATGATGGAATTTATTCTTTCATGATTCTGGAGGCCAGACGTCTGAAATCAAGGCATCAGTAAGTTGTTTACTTCTAGGCTGAGACAGAGAAGCTATTCCAGGCCTCTCTCCTTGGCTTGCATAGAGGGCCTTCTTCTCCCTGTGTCTCTTCACATGTGGGCATCTTCCCCAATGCCTGCCTCTATGCCCAAATTTCCCATTTAATGAGCCATTCAATGTACTGAATTAGAGCCCCATCTAATCCTTTTAACATGATTCCTTCTATGAACACCCCATTTCCCAAAAAGGTCTCATGCTGACATTGTTCTGGATTAGGTCTTCCACATAAGAATGTCAGAGGACACCACCAAATCAATGCAACAGTTCACTGAAATCGTCTTTGGTTCCATACACAGAATGGGTTTTGGTGACAGGGGAGCCCCTTTCTCCAGTCTGCAGAAGCACTGGCTGTCTTTCCCAAATCCCGGATGTGATTTTAGCTCTGCAGTCAGCTTTCACCTCAGCGGTGGACCTTTCACAGTTCCCACCCTGATCCCAGCTCTGCAACCACTGGAGAACAGCAGCATTGTAAGCTGAAGTCCTCTCGCTTTGTCAGAAGCGATTTCCATGGGTGCGAACCATCCGGGCGACCCTGTAAGGACAGATTCCGGGCTTTTGAAGACTCCCTCATGGCAGGCTTCAACCATGCACCAACTGCCTGCCCACTCCTGCATTCCTTGGCTTGTAGGCCCTTCTTCCGTCTCCAAAGACAGGAGCAGTAGCATAGCATCTTCAAATCTTTCCCTCCAACCTCTTCTTTGACTCTGCAGCGTCCATATGATGATATCAGGCCTAGTAGATAACTTGGCATCACTGCCTCATCTCGAGCTCAGCTGATGAACACCTTTAATTCTTTCTTACCACATAATATGAAATATCCATAGGTTCTGGGATTAGGGTGTGGACATCTTTGGGGAGATGGAGTGCTAGTCTGCCAACTACGTTAAGCAAAGACAAATTCCTACCTACAAGGAATTCTGATAACAAATGTGATGAGAATGAAGCTTTTATGTCATTAGGTAAGGTCTGAAAGGGTCTGGCAAATAGGAACCGAATAAGAACAGCTTGGAATTCCGTGGGCTAAAACAGGAAGGAGAAATCAGGGAGCGAGAGAGTAAACAGTCAACACTTGCATGATTATAAAGAATTTTTAAACTTTTTACTTAAGTTATCAATGTTAGAGAGTATGCCAAGCACCAGAGTGGGGTGATTATAGATTTAGAAGGTGATCTATAGATTACAGATTATAGATTTTACACTTTCCAATTCCAAGGAATTGAAGTTCCTCACTGCACAGTTCTCATCCTAGCAAATCAGTTTTCCGGAGAGTTCGGCACAGAAGTGGTGAGACAGTGCTGGGCCATCCAGTAGCAAGGTTGTACAGTCTCCTGGGGGCCCCTGACTGCATACATCTCTGAAGAGGCCTCCCAAGTTAACACACTCTCCGTTAGCCAGTCTCTGTCCAGAGTGCACGACTCAGCACCTTCAGGCCCAGGCCCTGCCTGCACCTTGCAGCCACTCTCCTCAGTTATCCGGTGCAGCTCATCCTCAGCCAGTGATGGGGGGCCCAGGAGTCAGAAGGGGAGGTAGAGACAGCCTAAGGGGGGCTATCATGATCTTGTGGGGAGAGGTCTCTGTACTGTTTTCAAGCAAGAGGGAGCCCTTGCTTGAGGAAGGACAGACTGTTTCTGCAAGGAAACGGAAATGGAGGGTCCCTAAGACAGCAAGGGAAGTAAGAACCTGATCAAATTTCTAGGCCAGTTATTTCAAAGCAAGTTAGATGTTCCTAAACAGATCTGATGTCCCACCCGCCCTTAGAGACCCAGCAAGACACAAGAGGCCAGGGCCCAGCCCTGAGTTTCATTCATAGTAGCGACCTGTGTCTGTCCCTTCTCCTCTGTTAGAGTCAATTTAGAAATGACTCCATGACTTCTACCTTCAGAACAGAGCAAATTGTAAATACACTGAAAGGAGTGGACAATTTATTTCTAACAAAATTGGAATGAATTCCTATAATCAACCTGGCCTTCTCCAACATGGTTTTTCTGACATTCTTTGATTCAGAGAAGACATATGGAATTAACCTGACAGATAAATTGCACTAAAATGTTATTAAGTCTGAACACAGACCTGATAGAAAAGAAACAGAAAGAAGAGAAGAGAAAATTCCTAAAAATATTGAGGTTGGGAGCCAAAGACAGCACACAGCTTTCTGGGAAGGCAATCGTGACAATGAAGCTCCAGACACCTGTCAGAATGAGCTCAGTGGCGAGTGCGTGCTGTGAGAAGACTTGGAGCATGTGAACCTCTGCCCTGGCTTCATCACTACAATAACCACATGTGGAATCTTACTCTGCTCCACTGAAAACTGGAATTTTATGAAGCAAATCCTAATTTCCTAAACCTTTTTTTTTTTTTTTACTTTCATTATGCCATGTTCTTCCCTCCATTCTTTCACTTTTCCTGGTTCCCCCTTTCCTACTTTTTTTTCCTTTTCTCTAATTTCAGACTGTCTTTCCACATTAAGTTAAAAGGCCAAAGAATTGGAACTCACAGGCCTTTTGGTCTCCCTCTTCCCATTTCAAGATGTGAGGAGATCAGGTGGATTTGCAGAGGAACAGAGGTGCCATAAGTATTACCTCATCGTGGCTCCAAAAACAGGAATTTGGAAGGGAACAAAAGGAAGTAATTAGACCTCTCTCTCCTGAAATGCCTTTAAAATACAAATTTCAAAAGCCATGTTCCTCAGAATGAAGAAGAAAGAGTGAAAGAGCTTTTAAACTGCAAAACATAGTAGTTCATAGTCTGAAGAGCATTTAGAGATTGTCTAGCTATAAACCAGTGTGAACCTCTAAATAAACAGGTGTCTACATGAGCTCAAGAAGACACTGTCTCCGAGAGCACCCACACTAAGGAAAGTTTGGGGACATGAGCCAATAAGATACTCTAAATTGAAAATGAGCATTATGTACTCAAAAAGAACAAAACACGAGACACAGCACTGCATGTGGTGAAGAGCACTGCTCTAAGCAAGGTGCCCTGGTTATAACCATGGTCCTACCAGTGTTATGGGTTGAGTGGTATGCTTTATCTCCAAGACTCCCATATTGAAGTTCTAACCTTCAGCCCCTCAGAATGTGGCTCTGTTTGGAAGCAGGATCTTTACAGAGATGATAAAGTTCAAAATAAGGTCATTAGGAAAGGTCCTAATCCAGTATGACTGACTTCCTTATAAAAAGAGGAAATTTGCCTGCAGGGAGAACACCATGCAGGAAGAGATCGGGGTGATGCATCCACAAGCCACGGCATGCTAAAGATTGCTGCCAAAGCACCAGAAGCTAGGAGGAACCAACCAGACTGACATCTAGGTCTCCCTACCTGGTCGCCATTACCGTAAGATCATTAATGTCTGTCATGTCAGACACTTGGTGTGTGGTACTTTGTTACAGAAACCCTGCCGAATTGAGAAAACCAGTTACCATCAACCTTGGTGACTCTGGGTTTGTCCTTCCCTCCTCTATAACATGGGGGTGACAATTAGTGTCTAAATCAAACTGTTGTTAGGATTCATTAAATGAATATGCGCAAGTGTTTGAATAGAGATTAATTCAAAGAAAGAAGTATATGAGTATTTGTTAAATAAAGGTTTTTAAAAACCAGTATCTGCCTAAGTCACTATAAGAATTATTAGTAAATCTCTGTGACTCTTCAGCCAATGCAGTATTAGAGGGCAAATAAAAAAGTCTTTTAGAAAACCTACATACCATCACTTATTTCAAGCTTTATCCACAAATTGTTATAATTAGACCTATGTTGTATTCTTTGTTTTTATTCCAATAGTGTGATCTGGCAGTGCCTAAGGCCTTTAGGCTTCTAATAAATTATTAATCTTGTAGTTAATAATTCATGTTAATTGGTGCTATAAGCACTTTCTCTGGCAAATGTAAGCAAAGGTCACAACTTTGTAACAGCAAAGGTGAAACCTTTTCCTAGTGTTCCCCCCCGCATGGCCTATCCAGATGGGGAAGACAAAATTTAACCAGAGCTGAGAAAGCCAGATAACTCCAAGGGGAAAGGTCTCCTGTGGTACTTCGCGGACCAGCTCAGCTTCCACAGTCCTGACAGAAAGAGGAGAGGTCTCCAGGGAGCCAGCAGACTCGGCTGCATGGAAGCCTTTCCAGGAAGGATGTGGTCAACACGCAGGTTCGTGAGTCTTTGGCAAAATGACATATACTAATTAAAAGTATTGATTTCTTGTTGATCAAGAAAATTTTTTGCAGAAACTAAAAAAGGCATTGAAAATACAACTCACCAGGAATGATTTTTTTTTCCATTGCAAAGTGCAGAGTTAAGAAAAAGAGGTCATTCACGTACACTGGGTAGCAACACAGGATTCAAAGCAAACCTACCACTACTGACGTCTTTGATTATTATGAATGTGTTTATGTTTTCCCCTAGAGAGAATTTGAAGTGAAGGAAAGTGAAGGAAAGAAATAAAAGGTTTCCTATCTCAAATATGTGTGTCTTTTCCAAGGCTATGCTTCACCCTGGGTCTATGAAGCCAGGGTCCCTTGGGTGCGAGCACCCTTTTCAGCCTTGATAACTAAGTGAAAGTTATACGTCAAGTCACAGACTGATGTGATTGAAATAATTTTTTTTTCATTTGGGGAATTAAAGTTATTCTGACTAGCTTTTTAAAAGCTTGATTAAAAGGCAGGAATAAAATATTCCACGAATGATGTCTGAAGACCTAAGATAATGAACTGGGAACCATTCATTTCAAGAGTTTCAGGGCAAGAAGTCCAATCCTCTGACCCTTGTTTTGTTAAGGAAAACATGAGCAGCATATGCTTTTCATTGTGTCCCTATCGCTTTTCAGCCATTTATATATTGGGGAAATGTATATTTGGCAACAGATCCTATTTTTATGAGTCCTTGAAACTTGCCCTTTGAAAATGTTTTCATTTCTGGCACATACCTGTATTTTAAGCAGAAGGAAAACACAAAGCAAAAAGAAAAAGAAAAATATGTACAGAAAGAAATGATTTTTCCAGCTCCGAGTAGCACAATAAGAAAACAGTCATTTGGTTGTGACTTTAAAAATGGATTCCTGCCTGGATTTTCTAACTATTTCCTTCTAAATGCCTTTTTCTCAACAGAAGTGAACTAATGTAAAGAGACAGGTTGTTCCAGTGCCAGGACTGAACAAGCAAAAGAAAACGGAGGGAGGCTGTGTTTCCTGCGGGGGAACTTAACCAGATAATGCCCGCCCTGTCTCCCCACAGCCTCTCAGGTGGATTCTCAAAAGCCGCCATACCCATCGCATGGTGTGCAATGCATATTCCTGGCCTCACTCCTGATCACCATCAGATTTCTATTATTTGCAGTCAGTAACAAAGATTCATTCTTGTGTCAATTATGCAACAAGGAGAATCTTTGTCACTTAGTGCAATTAATAGCTGCACCTCAAGTGGAACGGTGGGAGAAGGATGCTCTTCATACTCCGCTCCGGTGCCCTCAGACCTGGCTTCCGGGATCCTTACTGCCTTTCGACGATTAAGATGCAGAACTCAGCACAGGTAGAAAAAGTGTAAGGTGTCTCTGGGGGCTGTGTGCTTCTGCCTTTGAGCCCTGTAACTGCAGTCCAGGAGAGCTCTCCAGCTTTTCTCATTAAACCACCTGACCTTGAAGAATCAGAATCCTCTCTACCTGTGTCCTTTCTCTGTCCTCACCAGTGCCTTCTATCTTTCCAACGGCTCCAGGAGCATGTCATCTTCATGACTCTCTAGGTAGATTCTATTATAGGGTGGAAGATAACAAAAATTTCAAAAAAGCCTTCATGCTTGCTGAAGGCCGACCTCAGGCTGATGTCTAACCCCTCAGAACATAGGGCAGGCTTCATATGAGGAATTGGAAACAGCAGCTTGGAGAGGTCGGCATTGCTGGGAAAACCCAAACGGAAACCAGATCAGGATCCAAACTGGGGCTGCTTAACTCCAGCATTCTTTGTCTACTTACACTGTGCCTTTTTCATTTACCTTCCGGGTTCCTTTTTTATTGTTTTTTTTACCCCACTTCTTTTTCTTTCTCCTTTTCCATAAAACACAGCTGGATTTATCCCACTTGAGCCCAAACCTTTAATTTCCTCTCATTCACAATGGGGAAAATCCAGTCTTATACTCTGGAGGTTCAAGGAGCCCTTAAGTACTAATGGTCCTTCATGATCTCACTTTGAATCATTCTATTCCTCCATTTAGCCAATCTGTAAAAATCCTAAGGCCAATGGTAGTTTTTCCTCTTCTATTCCTGCCCAAGGAGAAAGCAAATATGAGGGCTCAGAAAAACACCGTGAAACATGACTCTGACTTGCTGAGTGCTTTGAAATGAAGTACATTAGAAGGGCCTCCAGCACCACCTCCTTCTGAACTTCTGTCTTTTCTCTTACTCCTCTCTATCCCTAAAGACAGGATGCAGAAACTAAAATTCCTCTTTCCAAGGTCACTCATAGGGCCCTGGGGCCCTCTTCCTCAAAGCCATCCGTAAGACTTATTCTGCCTTCCCCCTACCTTTCTGTCTAGGAGCTTGACATAAAGAAATTCTCTGACTTGTCTCCCCTAAAGGTGAGTCACAGACCCTCCTTCCAGAAGAGTCCTGCCCTAAACTTGGGAGGAAGGAATGCTGCACAGAGACGCTAGGAAAATGAACAAACAGGCCATGCTGGCTTTGCCCTTGTAGTCTATCACTTATTAGCTCACATCCTGTTGTCTAACCACATTTCTACATGGCTGTCCAAGCTACATCGATCTTAAGAATAAAAACAGTTTTCCGTGGTTCTTTGGCTCCTCATTTCTGAAGGCTTCCATGATGCTTAAAGCTTTCATTAAATAAAGATGTTGTGCTTTTCTCTCACTGACCCGTCTTTTGTTACAGGAATGCAGCTGTGTCTTTTATGACAAGGGTATCACATCATGCAACCCCTACCCAAATGTGCTGCTTTTGCCCTGTTCCACAACTTTAAAGATCTTACCCCCCAATTGCCCCCTCGCTGAGCCATCAAATAGGCAGGCTGTTTCCTCACAGGCTTTCTCTCACATCCCTGACCATGAGTGCACCGACTACGGTGTCCTGTGTCATTGTGGGGAGCGGCTGGGTATCCTTGCTCTGCTTCCTCGCCTTCCACCAGGGAACCTGTGTTCAGCCTGTCTCCCTTCCCCTCGTCATGAGCCAGGACTGCCTGTCGCCCTCCTCCGATCACAAACGTGTCCCATCCTCTGCTTCCCCCTCCATCTACATCCTGTTTCAAACCCTCCAGCTCCCTCTCCTTTGTCCCATCTCTCCAAAGACGCTTTTCCATCCACTTCCCAGGAACAGCTCCTGTCCTGCCCAGTTCAATTGGTGTCCGTAGTGCTCCATCCCCAACCTGAGATCTCTCACCACCTAATATGCAAGCTTCGTGACAGGCTCCGACAATGACAGTTTTGCGCCCCAGCCCCTCCATCGGTTCTGATATGGAGCATTTGGTTTCATGCTGTATCCCTCACTTCCTTCTACCTAAGCTCCTGAGCACAGGGGCTCCTGTGAGTCCCCGTGGTCTTATGTGCATAATAGATTATAAGACTATAAATGAGCATTAAATTCGAATTCAACAGATATGTATATAGCACTATCATTTCTAAGTGCACTAAAATGCCTTGTCAACAAAATGAACTAGAGAACAAGGTGAAGAGGAAGAGCACAGAGAATCGCAGCACCTGTTGCTCTCCAATCCAACCTGTCCATCCCAGACCTCTCCACGAGTCCACTAAGTTGCCTAACAGACACCTTCCAGGTTTCTCAGAAGCACTCAAAACGTTAACCACCCAGGGCCAACTTCTTTGTTTCTTCTCTGCAGGTGAAATCAGGCAGACTTAGTCTCCTCCCTTTAATTCTTCTCCTGTCACTGCCCAAGTCACGTTCAAATCTGACTGAGCAGATTACCCAAAGTCACCCACACCTGTCTCTCCTCGCTGCCCTCTCCTAACTTCTGCTCTCTGTCCTTGTCACTTCCTCTTCAGCGCGGAATTAGGGGAAATTTTTCAATTAGCAATAATCGTGCCTCGGAGAAACCGCATTGGCTACGATACAGCCACTGTGCAAAGCTTTGAGTGCAGAACTAGAAATGGCACAAACCCTTCATTACCTCTCTGTGGCCAACACCATAAATTTGTGCAGAGGTCTGGAGTGGACAGACAGATCTTGGAATGGCCACAGCCTCAACTCTCAGTGTTTCTCTTTGGCTCCACACAATCAGGAAAGGCTGATTCAGCTTCTCGTAGACACTGTAAGAGGAAGGTATTAGGATAATAGCAGAAGTGGATTCACACTCCTTAGAGTGAAACCCAAGGCTTTCGAAGCTTTGGCTTCTGCTGGGTTTTAATTTAAAGAACACTGGTCGTGTGTAGTTCACAAAGCCCACTGGCCTTTGCCCCGTGCTCCTGGCAGGAAGCTCTTTCACGACATTCTCAGAGTCCCACACAATACCCTCCTCATTACTCACCGGAGGAAAATCTATTTACAAGCTTGTTCAGATGGCATAGCTACTGGGATATCCTTTTGACTCAGACTGCTCTTTAACGCTGCCTCTAGCTCTGGCTGCTATAATAAAATACCACAGAAGAAGAGAATTAAGCAACAGACATTTATGTTCTCACAGTCCTGAAGACCGGAAGTGCAAGATCGGGATCCAGTGCAATTTGGTTACTGGTGAGGCCCCTAACTCCTGCTAAAATAACTCATCCACAACAACAATCACAATGTGAGTTAGAGCTTCACCCTTTACACATGGGGGAACACAGTTTAGTCCACAGAAACCCATGCCCCCAGTCCCCTCACAGAATGGAACCCACTACTTGCACTTTGTAGAATGATGACTCTTATTGGCATGAATACTCTGCAAATTAGTCTACTGGGAATTTTATTTATTTATTTATTTTGGTACCGGGGATTGAACTCAGGTCCTTGCGCTTGCAAGGCAGGCCACCGAACCACTGAGCTAAATCCCCGGCCCTCTACTGTGTATTTTAAATTGGAAGTGATTGTATATTTCAATATAATGGAAACATTACATTGTTTAATGAGTAGAAATGCAATATCTATTATATATTTTAATTTTTACCTTATCAGATTAGGTCTTAGTCAACTAATTTTAACCTAAATATGTCAATTTCATAGTCAAATCTAATACGTATATTGGCATATAAATTGTGTGTCAGTCAATAATACAAATAATTTTAATTTTTATTTACTGATGTGTATTATTTGTTCTAAAAAAGTTCTAAGGAAAAACGGTCAAAACAGTCAGCATGATTATCTAACCATCAAACAATATTTTATGAAACTAAGGAAGTTTCACCATTGCCATCAATCTGTGAGTCACAGCAGGAAAAAGAATTGATGGGCTGATAAAGGCCCACTTCACCTGCCTTTGAAGGAAACACACCCTCTTCTTTTTCATGAATTATTAAAATCCAGAGACAAAGTTGGCATTCTGGAAATGGATGGATGCTGTCAGGTATCATGTTACAAGTGAGACTTTATTTATCTTTAGCTCACAGTTCCCTCTGACGCACATACTAAAAGACTGAAAAGAAATTCCAAAGAATTCATTATATTTATACGGTATCTGAGCCTTGACTGTTTACTGAGGCTATTTAAATAAATTTAACCCCCCTTATACTACACAGTAAGAAAAATGCAGACCTATATTCCAGGCTCTATTCCTCTTGAAGTTGGTTTATAACATAATTAGATTGCATGGCAGAAGTCACACAAAAAGAAAAGTTGGATGGTCATGGCTACATCTCACTTGCCTAATTCACTCCATGACAGGCCTGACTTCCATAAGGAGGTCAGAGGAGCTGAGTTTTTTGTTGAGAAGCTGCAGGAGTACGCTGAGGTTTCCCCACAGCAAACTTGACTGTGAACCCCTGAAACGCAGATGAGAAGTCTTAGAACACGGTGGGGGGGTTCCAGTTTTCCAAGGCAGATATCCACACTCAGCCAGACTCATGAGTTGGACTCTCCTGTGCACACAAGATGACCACCCCGATGACTCATTACAAGCTCTCCTTTCCTTCTGATAAAAAGGCACACACCAGTAATCCCTGCAACCAGGAGCTTGAGGCAGGAGGATTGAAAGTTTGAACCCATGCCCAGCAATTTAGTGCCTTGAGACCCTGTCTCAAGATAAAAGTATAAAAAGGGGTTGAGGATATAATTCAGTGTAGGGGCCCTGTGTCCAATCCCCAGTATCACAATAAAAATAAAGTGAGGGTAATTTTGGACCCTGAAAAAAATAAGTTTATGCCCTGAAATATAAGAACTGATCCACATTAGATCCCAGAGCTAAATTCTGCCAGCTAAGGAACTGGAAACTCAGTATTTTTCAAAGGTCCAAACATGCCACACTCCAGCTCTCTCTGCCCCATCCTAGCTCCTCCTCGCCCTCAGCCATAGATCCACAGTAGACTCCTGCTCCACCCAGACTTAGGTTTTGTTTTCACGAAGATGAAATTTCATTTCAAGCACTCACTCATGCTTGAGGTTCAAGACTTTCCTTGCTTTTTTCCATCTTCTCTTCTCATTACTGCATGTTTGTGATAACTTGTGAATGCTCTTCGTGCTGAGTTAGTACACACACCTAAAGCATCTTAACGCTTTTTACTTCCCTTTTCCCTTCCCTTCCCTCTCACTCCATCCCTAGACCCCCTTCCCATCTCAGAAAGATCTACCTCCCTGATTCCTATTACTTCTCATTTATTTTGCCCTTTCAATTATTTTATACTTTGGGTTTCTCATAAATGAGAAATGATGCAAGATTTAACCTTCCGTGCCAGATGCTTTTTGCTCAGCATATGGGGCAGACTAGCTTCATCTCTATCCAAGGTTCAAACACAAGCTCCGGTTCCCATGTGTTTTCCTGTGTGCTCAGAAATGTGTTCCCTGCTGGAGTTCAGACCATGCAGCCCATGAAGAGGGACCAAACAGCTTTCTTCCCAAATAGCCTTTTTTGGCTTAATTTGAAAGATTATGAAAGAGATTCCATTCTGATCACCACCATCTGCCACCCATCTCTTAACTGTATTTTCCAGAGCCCACTCTCTTCAACTACTCCCCAACCCCACTAAGGGACCTGACTCAGCCAATTCACCACAGGCTGGCTTTGGAAGACCGTGTCTGCAAGTGATCACCACTCTTCTTACCCTCTCTCCCACACATTCATGAAAACCTTTCTTTTCATGGAATTCATAAAAACACGCCTCATGCCAGTTCAAATCATTCTAGTCCCTTCTATCGAAATCTGTTATGAAGAGCAGAATAAAGAACCGAAGCAGCGACCAGCCATTGCTAATCCAAAGAGAGACTAATGCAACTTTTAAGATCACTTCCTGTTTTTTGCCCACTTCATTGGAAGATGGCTTTGCGGCTTTTATTTCTGAGAAATTTCATTTTTGTCCCAGAAATGTGGCAGGCATTAAAACTACTGATAAAACTTTTCTTGTGTAAAAATACGGCATTTTTCTGAGAAAACTTGAACCTTGTTTTAAAAAGCACAGAATCAATTTGAATTCCAAAAATTCTATTTTCCCATCCATACACCAGAATATTTTCCTGTAATTTTTTATGTATACTTGTACATTTCTCAAATTAAACTTGAAGGAAGAAAGAATGTGCTTATCTTTGAGCAGTTTCTAGGCACCAAGGCACCAGGATACAACAATTAGGTAACTTGGAAAATTAAACGCTTACTTTCAAATGGCACACAAATAAGTACAACATTCTCAAAGAATGGACATTTTATTTCTTTGTCATTACACCATCAAATATCAAGAGTGGACTAAGGTGGTTTGTTCTTGTTATTATCAGAAAAAAATTAAAATTAGACTTTTAGTGCTTATGAGTGTCTTCCCTTTAGAAAAATATGCCTTTTAGAAACTAAGAGACATAAAAGTAAATGCAGTCACAGACTGGATTTAGCATGGAAGGAAAATTATGTTGTAAGGACAATACTGGATCAATCAACAAAATTGGAATATGGACAGTTTCGAGTATCATGTCACTATGAAATTTACTGAGGTTGAAGAGTGTACTATGGCTATGTAAGAAAATAGCCTATTCTTAGGAAATAAACACTGAACTGAAGTATTAAAGTGCTTACTTGCAAGCATGTTTGGAAAAGGTATTATGTGTACATATGTACATGTATGTGGAGGGGGAGGGGAGTGCAATAATAAAGAAATTCAGTAAAATGTGCACAACAGGTGAATCTGAGTAAAGGGCATTGCTGTACGTTCTTCTAGTCTTATTATAATTTTCTTATGTCTGAAATTATGTCCAACCTGTGTGTTTTGAAACCACACCTTGTGATTTGAAATTATGCTTTGAAGAAAAGTTGCAAAGAGGAGAAACAACAGGAGAGAATTCTCCAAGTGTCTAGGTGGCTTCTTCCCATCTTCAGAGATGAGTCAACATGTTCATTACTCCTGCCCACCAGACTCTTTCATTTCTCTCTGTCCTCTTCATCAGCAAAGAAGCTTACAAAGCATTCAGCTTGGCCCAAGAATGTCTCCAAGCATAAGGCTGGACATGAGCACCCATGTGCAAATCCTCAAGGCCTCCTGAACACTTTGCTTCCTCTGCTATTGATGGGTCCAGGATGGTATCAGGCAAACACTTTACCACCTGAACCCCTCCGGAGAGTTCAAAGGCATGAAGCTTCAACTTTCTCTTTCAGCGCTATAAAGCTAAAAATTCCTTTGAAATAAATGGCTTTAGTCCAGACAAAGGCAGCTAATAATGTTTTCAAACAATAGTAATAATAGCAGCAGTAATAGTATCATTCAATTTAAAGTGTATGAACTAATTTAATCCCCGTTGAATCCTTAGAGGCATTATGATTATTTCCAGCTTAACAATGAGGAAACCAAAGGCCAGAGAGATTAAGTACACTGCTGAATGTCACATAACTTGCTGAATTTGAACCCAGACAGTCCAACTTTAAAGTCTGCATTCTTTTTTTTTTCTTTTTATTGAGTTTATTGGTACATTCTAGGTACACAGTACAGTTACATTCATTACTGGGATCTGGTACCTTTACATGACAGGTCTTGGTTCTTATTCTTTCCCTTTTACATGACAGGTCCTGGTTCTCATTTTTTCCCCTTGTCCCTGCCCTCCTTTCACCCCCTCCTCCCCTCCCTATTTATAAACACTTTATTTCCATTTTTTCATTTTCTCATATTTTTTCCTTTCCCTTATTTCCTTTCCCCTACCCTTCCCACTTTCCCCACACCTTTAGCCCTTTTCTTTAAAGTCTGCATTCTTAATCACCACACTTAACTTCTCAATTCTACCCTCCTATCAACTAACTTAACTGTTAAATAGTTCTGGTTATGCGAACTGACTATTCTGCTATATCCACTATTGTCCGTTCAAAATCCCATTACCTAAGAGTCACACTGCAAACCCCTCTTGACAAGACACATTCACTGTATGGCCACTATGACATATGTAGGGTCATGTTCAATAGGTCATGTTCTGTGA